GACATGTCTTTTATTGGTATGTACAGGTTCCTCCATTCTTAATCAGCAAATTCTTTACACAAGTCTTTTCACATATTAATGCCCAGCTGTTCAATATGTAAGACTGAACTCTGTCCATGCGTCATTATACTATTTTCAGTAAGTTTGACTATGGTATTGCTTATCTTGTAGTTTGCTTCGCCAAAAGAAGTGCTATTATTCTAGCAACGCAGAATATGTGAAAGTTGGATTGGAAAGATTAAAAGTTTGGTGCAGTTCTCAGACTGAAGAGGTACTACTCAACTTTTCCCATCCTTCTCTCGTACCTTCCTTTTTTCTCACTATGAAAGCTAATGGTATGCGCATATGCGTTACACACAGTATGCAGGTTCTTCGTGGAAACAGTTGAGGCACATTTGGCAGGCTGTCCTATTCCTCGTTAGTGTCTGATGCTTATTGGTCGTTTATTTGCTATGTCGTTACTTCCTTTATTCTGTGTACATTTAGGTTTGTTCTAAGTTAAACTTCCGTAAGTTTGACCATATTTACAGAAAATATATAAAACCAACAACGTCAAATTCCATCATAAAATATTATTCACAATATTATTTGGTATTGTAGATGTTGATATATTTTTGTATAAACCAGTTAAATTTTAAAATGTATGATTAGCATACATCTATATGTACCACTATTAATTATGAAGCAAAGTGAATAATATAAATTGGACATTCAACAAATTCTTTTGCTAGGTTGTTGTTGGAAAGTCAAAGAAAACTCTGACAGACATCAGTACTTTGTGCCCTGTAAGTGTGTATTTGAACTAAGTGCAGTCATTCTCCATATATGTCTTTTGGACATGACATGTAAATCTTTTGCAACACAGGAGCTGAGTAAACCACATCTGTATCAAATCATCACAATGCATTCGGCTAACACAGATAGCGAAAATATTGTTTCACCAGAGGTATGCTTATTTGCCACTTCAGTTGGACTGGCAAATCCTCGATCACAAGGGTTCCATTTTTCTCGCACTTTTTGATAAAACTATTATCCTTTTCAACGCAATACTGGAATCTCTAAAGTTTTAACAAGCAATATAATCTGTTAGAAGGATGTTTCGATCATGTGTCGTGGGTCAAATTTAGGAAGAGGGCACCTTAGAACTACAACTGTAAAAGCAGGATGTTAGAAATCTTTATTTGATGAAATTTAATTGGACTTGGTTAGTTCGAACAAGTTTCATTGAATTTATTTCCAGATTTACCAAATTTTTGGTAATTTTGGTGACTACCGGAATTTCTCTAAAACAGAATTTTGAACCACAATACATTATAGATCATGGATAGCTGAGTTGACTGACATAAGTGCTCTAAAAATGTGGAAGCAACTGTATTCTGTATCCTGATCATTGGTTCCCCAAGGATGTCCCTGTATCTACGTAACTGTGTTTTTGTTTCTGATGAAAGAAAATGACAATTAATGTAGGTTCACTCGGCTGTTGCATTGTCTAAAAAACGCATGATATTGGAGCATGCATCGATGGAGGATTATAAGAATACGTCGACCAAAAATTCGAAGAATAAATTGATGGAAGATTCTAAGAATGCATCGACGGAAGCTTCAGAGAAAGAAAGGATGAAATACAAAAAAGAATTGGATAGTTGGATCACATCCATATCTTTGTTGGAACCACCAAGGTTATTTTACTTCTCCAAAAGTTCAATACAATCAATAATAACTAGAGTACAATAATTCTTTGTGAGACAGATCTCTAATGCTGTTCATGGCACCTCAATTTACAGCATTCCATTTTCTGTGGATGATATCGCGAAGTCATTGGTTACATTTGCGGACACAAATGTTGATGTGCCAGCTCAGATCCGTAACAACCCTTGCTTCAACTTCCTACACGAAAGGACAGACTAGTAGCCCATGGTCACTGGCGACCTGGGTTGATGTTACTTCCTCGACATTAGATTAATATGATTGTGTGTTGTTCAGTAATTTGCAATATTTTTTACCAGAGTATGGTTGATGATAGATTGATCGGGGTATCCACAATAGTTGAGAATGCAAAAAAAGGCAGTCTTTTCTTATATTATTCACATATGATTTCTCTTAAACCTATCTCTTAATAGTAAATATTTATAAGAGAAAATATATTGTATAATGGAGAAAAAAATATTTTCTTAATAACAGACAATAGTTAAGAAGGCAGTCTTTTCTCATCTCTTCCATCCTATTTAGGGATGATAATAAAACAGGTTGTACAATTATTTATGTTTTAAATTCATCTTTTGATAGTAATTGTTTAAATAAATATAAAATATGTGTCGCACAGCTCGCAAGTGGCGAGGACCTTGAGTAGTCGTGTGGCGCGCTTTCCAAAGAACCTTATTAGCTCTCTCCCAATTTCGGAGTTCTGCTCTCCTGTTCACCGATGCGCGGGATGGAGTAAACTACAATGACGGTGCAAGGCAAAACCCTATAACAGTTTGGTGCATATCTGGAGGTGGCTGATAGGTCTTATTGGCAGACCATTCATGCAGGTGATGCACGCCTACTCTTTTCTTCTCGTTCCGAGCCCGGCCAGGCGGCCAGGCGAGCGAATGTGTGTGTGGTGTTTCTATTGTTTCCCTACTCACAACACTTGGAAGTGGTGGAGAGCTTATATTTATATAGGTTCTCATCCACTTCCATTTACAAGGTTAAATTAAAAAGTTACACATTTCTCTTGCACTCATACATGAGCTTTAAAAATTTATTGAAATTTCCAGAATTTAATATGGACCTTGCCAATCTATAAACTAGAACCAATAAGTTTAACGTAAAACATTGAGACTAGTACCTAACCAGCAGAATCTACATGTATATGCTAGTTATTTTAATTGCTAGTCTCAGTCAAGAAGTCAAAAAGAAATATAAGAGCCATTTGCACCTTGAGTTTAGGAATCAGCGAAAATGGAATCTGGAGTTTTTGTTGGGGCCAAAGCACTGCGGGATAGAAAAACTTTACCTACAGCTTGATCTCGACGCTGTGCATTATCGCCCATGCATTGGTTTAGCTGCACTAGTAGGACCATCCCCAATGCGCGAGCGATTCCTAACTGTTCATGTCAGATTAAAAATCGAAAGGGGACGTTTTCTCCAATCTATAAATCGATCTTCACTGTTAACTTTGGGAGTTTGGGCCCTACTAAAAACCAAAAAAAATGTTTTATCTAAATGGGGTGGTCTCCCGCAGCATTGATTCTCCATTCTGACACAAAAAATCAGGCTCCTCTAATGTTGGAAGTTGAAAAAATCACAACCCCTAGCCGCCTCCTCCTCCCAACCCTAGCCGCCCCTCCTCCTCACCCCCTCCCCTCCTCCCTCCTGTTAGAATAAATCCGAGGTACGTAGTCGATTCACCGAGGAACAAGCAATCACAGACAATGACGACACCGAGATTTGTTAACGAGGTTCACCGATATGGCTACATCCCCGGGGCCTGACTATGGGCGCTCCTCCCCATGACACCGCTACAATACCGCACCCGGTCGCCCTGGACGCCGGCACATGCCGCCGGCTTCCCCTGCGTTCCAGTGCTATTATGTTGGCATAGGTTACATCGTGTGTCTATCCCCGCTATATAAGAGAGGCCTAGGATACAAGTGTCCTACTAGGACACGACTCCATATCCTATCTAAACACAATACTACTCAGAGTCCAACTGTAACCTACCGTGTACACAATATTCGACACAACTCTAACAAACTCCACCTTGGCGAATATTCTCCACCACCTTGAATTTGTCCATGCGTCAAACTTCCATGTACATTGGACTTGAGCTTGTCCCATGAGCACCGCTGCTACTCCAAAGACTCCATATGACTCCACCTGCAACTTTTAGTCCCTTCTTTTCTTGACCACGGTCAACACTCGAGCAAAATTAAGTTCCTTGTTACTCTAGCTTATGCTCCCAACTTCCAGATTATCAGTCCAACGCCATCACGCACTGATCACTGACCTGCGTGAAAGTGAACAACTCACATATTGGGTGTCACACATAAGAGTTACCTGAACTCAACATCGACGCTTCTTTCTTGACTGCCTGTCTGAAACTTGAAAGAATTTCACCGTTGCTTGTAGTCATCCCGAGTCAAATTCGCAGTTGTCTCACCACATGTATGACCACCAGAGCCCTGGCCCGTCTCCATGTCCGTGTGTACCGCATGCCTCGCCGCTATTACCGCGTCGAGCCTCCGCTGTCCCGGTCGAGTCTCAAGGGTCGCGAAACCACACCACTCAACCCCCACTGCAGAGTACCACCGATCATCATCGACCGATGACGAGTTTCACGCTTCCATCAGACCACTGGGCTCCAGTCTGAACTGCATGTCACTCGCTTTTCCCGCTAAATAGGCTTTCGATTTTCTGGATCCTTACTTCGTAGCCCCTCAATCCAGCTCCACCTTCAACATGACTCCATGGTAGATGATCAGTCCACCCTCGCGCCTCATCGACTTCAAGCTCCATGTATACACCACCTTGAATCAATCCCGCGCCATAGTCTTGCTGAAGTCACACAAGCCCTCGGGGCCTGCGCCACGTGTTTCCACGCCCAGAAGTCGGTCACCATCAGCATCACGCTCCTACGTCGTCGTCGCCGATCCCACCACCGTCTTCTGTACCAACCGACTCGCGTCGATCCCGTCAGACTGGCTAGTCCGACCAAGCCGAACTTGTTCGACTGCATGACACGTTCCAGACTCCTCAAGCCGTTGACATTCGCCATCCATACACAACTGTACCGACAAAGAAACCCAAAGAAAAATCTCTTGTAGCTTTTCCATGTGAATACTCCAAAAGAGATCAACAAACTCTTAATTCACCACACGTTCATAGCTTCTAGACTTTTTTTCTTTCTTTCTTGATAGCAAACACGTCACGGCTGACTGTCCTTGTGCCGAATTTCTCTTTTGTCCAAACAAATCTCTCGTGCATGCACAGCACCACACCGCACCACATGGCTCCTTTGCCTCTGCGCAGAGCAACGCCCCGAGCCTGTGCCTCCTTGCTACAGCCTGCCTTGACCCAGCCAGCCACGTGCCCCGCGTCTAGCGGGCCTACCGCCTGGGCCGCCCTGCATGCCAGGTTCATGCATGCTGATCAGCCAGCGTTCCCGTGCCGCTTTCACCAAGGACTCCTGCTGCTACACGTTGGCATGTCGACTGTTTCCGATTGCTTCAATTCCGTCGAAAAACACCGCTCTCTCGATTGCATCTGATTGATTTTGTTGACCACACCGTAGTCCTCCAATGAATCGGCAGCGACTCGTCTTGACTGTCCTGTTGTCAACTTAACCACTCTGCTATCAAACATCGAGCGGTCAATTCCGCTGCTTTCGCTGTTCACACAACTCGCAGCCACAATCACCTTCGACCTTCCTCTAGATCAGACTCGTGATCTCTGAATCACCTAGCTCATGATACCACTTGTTAGAATAAATCCGAGGTACGTAGTCGATTCACCGAGGAACAAGCAATCACAGACAATGACGACACCGAGATTTGTTAACGAGGTTCACCGATATGGCTACATCCCCCGGGCCTGACTATGGGCGCTCCTCCCCATGACACCGCTACAATACCGCACCCGGTCGCCCTGGACGCCGGCACATGCCGCCGGCTTCCCCTGCGTTCCAGTGCTATTATGTTGGCATAGGTTACATCGTGTGTCTATCCCCGCTATATAAGAGAGGCCTAGGATACAAGTGTCCTACTAGGACACGACTCCATATCCTATCTAAACACAATACTACTCAGAGTCCAACTGTAACCTACCGTGTACACAATATTCGACACAACTCTAACACCTCCCTCGTTGCCGACTGAGGCAGCCGCCGGGCAAGCCCGGGGCGTCAAGGATGGTGGTGGCGGGGCCTCGGTTGTCCTGCTCCTCTGTGGGAAACCCTGGATCTGGAGCGGCGACTCCATTGAAAGGCTCGGCCGGCTAACAGCTGTGCGGGTTGTGGATCCGGTGTCCTGACCGCGCGGGCGGCGTGATCCGGTGGTCGTTGGCGGCCGGCGGCTTCTTCTGCGACGGTCGGTGTGCGCGATCTGGCGCCTCCCTTCCTTCCCTGTTCGGCGTACGGGCCAGCCTGGTCGGGCCGCGCTTCCTCTTGGTCGCCGATTTTATACAGGAGGTGCTGTTGGTGGCGGAGATCTAGTTCGGGCGAAATCCCTGGCCGGCCATGACCGGCCGCGCCGACGGCGATGCTTGAGGGTGCCGTTATCCTCTTTGGAGGCGTCGGTATGTACTGATCTCCTCACTTCACCTTCCCCTAGGTCTCCCGAGCGAAAGCCCTAACTCTGTTGGGAGGCGGCGGCGCTGACGACGCCGTTCCCTTCTTGAAGGCGTCGCTTTGGAAACCTTGGTGTTGGGTGGCGCTTGTGGGTAATGGGCGACGGCGGTGGTGCGGCCCTTTCCTAGCATGGATTTACGTCTGTTGCTTGGAGATGGACTTGCGTAGGTGGAGGTCGTCGGCTGGCGTCGTGGTGGCGTCAATGGCGGAGGACCTGCCAAGGCTCGCGTAGGTGGAGGTCATCATTTGGCGTCGTGGTGGCGTCGATGGCGGAGGACCTGCCAAGGTTGTCACCTCAATCTGCTCTGAAGATGGACTAGTGGAAGATGACGACGATGACACTTGTGAGTGCGTCAGACCGATTTGAGCAGCATATGGCTCGGTCGGGGCCTCCAGATGTTAGGCTTAGGTGAGAGGTATGGGTATGTGGCCCAGCTTGCACCTCTTCATCATTTGGATAGTAGTAGCGGTAGATGCTGCCAAGATGACGGATTCAGGCATATTGTTGTTATACTTTGTAAGGTCCTCGAGAATAATCAATAAAATGGTCGTATGCATCTCCCACATGCAGAGACCGGGG